TATTCTAGTGGGTAACGTGCATGCTATGTTTCCTTCACAGGGTAAAGTGAAATAAAGCTTAGCTGTTGGCTTTCCAACATGGTATGGAATTGTCACACTGGAAAAGCACAGAGACAAAATCTAAATATTTTACCTTGAAACACAACATGAAATTCATGCATTGGCTGATAGCCTGCATGCCCAGTGATGAATCACAAGCAAGAGAATAAGATGATGCAGGGCTATCAGGCAGAGCTGAAAAGTGTTGGGATTCACTTCAGAGAATCAGCAGGAAACTTGTGATTAACAGGGATGAACACAACACTGAGGACCTTGTGCAGAAAGAGAGGCCTGCTGAAGGGCCCGTGGCAAATCACAGTGCATCTCTATGGTCCTATTCTCTTAATGTCTTCCACTTTAACTCTGGGTATGCTGTTCCACCTCCAAGTATACACTTCATAATGCTTTATAAAAACTAACTCATTTGGACTTGGGGAGCAATTCAGCTTGTGCTTCATAATCTGTGCTTTGTATTATGAACCAGGGACTGTAGTGATAGGACAAGGGGTAATGGGTTAAAACTTAAACAGGGGAAGTTTAGATTGGATATAAGGAAGAGGTTCTTTACTGTTAGGGTGGTGAGGCACTGGAATGGGTTGCCCAGGGAGGTTGTGAATGCTCCATCCCTGGCGTTGTTCAAGGCCAGGTTTACTGCCTAGTTTACACATAAACATGGTTTAGGGTGAGGTGTTCCTGCCCGTGGAAGGGGGGTTGGAAGTGGATGATCTTAAGGTCCCTTCCAACCCTAACTATTCGATGATTCTATGAATTTACACTGTGCATAGACCTACAGGAACCCAGTCCCTTTTGGGCTTTTGGATGCAGCTGTAATCAACTGATGTTATAGCTGGCAAAGTAGAGCATAGATTTTGGGCTTTGCAGGTCACTCTTATTGACATATGTCATTTATGTATTGTATGCATCACAGAACAGCAAAGCTTTTCATATGTTCTTTTTCTCAGTGTTTGAGCCAATGGCGAAACCTGGGAGGTATGGTGTTGAAAATTCACCATGCCTCAAATAAATTTAACTTGCACATAATTACTGCTAAAGTTTTCACTTGTAGCTGTTCCTTCTAAGCAAAACAGATGCTCAAAAATCCTTTCCATAATAAGAATTAAAAAAAAGAAAAAAATCATGGATACATCAACATGTTCTTCTGTGTTCAAAAGGGGAAATCTCCAAGCTCTTAATCCTTGTTTTGCCTAGATTACTTTAAATCTCAAAACAACCATTACTGCATCGAATACTTCTGTTGTATGCTCTGACATTTGCCGGAACAATGGTGCAAGCAGTTAACAAATGTGTTATGTATGTTATCCTATGGCCATACTTTCTTCCGAGGCTGGAAGAAAGTAACGATGAAATAACACATTAAAATAACCTCGAAACATAGTATTGATTGTCTCATTTAATGTTTTCCCAACTCTTTCTGCCTCTGGAAGTTGCAGATAGTTTATCCTTACAAAAGACAGGAGGCAAACCAACAACTATTTGGAAATGATGCATTAAAAGGGTGCTTGAAAGAAGAAACTGTCAGAGCTGTTATGATATTTGCAAACCAAATCTGAAGCATCATTATAGACCTCTGTTTTGGCACATAAGGATTGTTTCAATTCAGCTTTCCAATCTCTTCCTGCAATCTTTAAGTAGTTATTAATCTATAGGGATTCAGGGTTTATTTTGAAGCACTAGGGAAGGGGAACAGAAGCTAGGAATCTCCTAATACCCTGGAAATTGATGGTGTTGATTTTCATAAGTAACAAAGGTAGAAGGTGTTGTCTGCATTCATGTAGTGCATACCTCTGTTCCATTGAAGCTTTTTTACTTCTTAAGCTGATTAGGTGTTAGATGTAGTTTGCAGTGACTAGAATGAGACTTACACTTGTTACAGTGTCATATTTGAGTAGTAATTTATAAAACTGAGAATACTCACTTTGAAATCAAGCGAAACACCTTTTTTCTGGGGGCATTACTGGTAATGTTCACTGATGCTTTCCTCCACTTGCCTCCCTTTCCTCCTTTAAAACAAACTAAATTAATAAAATGCTGCAAAAAGATTATTTCCCAGCCAGATGCTTTTGCTGATCCAGTCTGCTGCAGAGGGAAGTGTATTAGCCCAGCAGGAAAGAAAAAGCATGAGAGGATGCTTCAGCTGGGTTCAAGTTACCTGTGCAGCCAATCTCCCAAATGTATGAAACTACAACTCTAGCACCTTTTTGCATGAGGTAGCATAAGAAAGGGTACCATCAAATGAATGGCTCCTTCTGTCAGGACAAGTAGGACAAAAAATTGGATGCTTATACCAAGAAGTGCTAAACAGTTTCAGCATTTAATGATTCACTGACAAATACCTGCATTCCATGCTGCCTCAGCCCTGCTGTTTTTATTTGCAGGTTTAAGTTTGAATTTAGCATTTATTTCATTGCAGAATGAATACAGACATTGATATTTGCCACAAAACAGAATTTCAGTTCCAGTTGTGGCAGGTGAGTCTCTAAAACATGGCTAGGTAGGACCCCCATTGACTGGAGATTTAGTACTTTGGCTTTATCTTGCTTATTCGGACAATTGATATCATTTTAAACATGTGGATAAAGAGGCATGGACACAACTGACATTGCTGTAGCCAACATGAAGTGAAGGAATCTTGAAACTGACTTGAATCAAACAAAGGTGCTGTTCACATAAATAATAATAGGCAGAATTACTGTATGATTTAAACTATATCCAGAAGTGTAGGAAAGCCTGTGCCTCAGTGAACTCAGTAACACATATGAACCAACTTTTCTCACGTGTCCTCCAGTCATTAATTCCCAGCTGTTGATGGTGGGAACTTGGGGAGTGAAGTGAAAAATCCTCTCTCCATTCCTACCCACCTTAACTGGAAGTAATTAAAACCTGTTAATTCAGAGGATGCTACAGCATTTGCTCTGCCATTTATGCCCAAGAGGAAAATGCTTTCTTAAGGATGGATGACGGATGACATTCTTTTTTCCCTGGTTTCAGAGAAACTTTTCATTTATTTACAAAGCTTTCCTTCGAAACAAAAATGCATCTAGAGTTAGATAGGTGCTTTTTTTAAGTGTGTGCTAAAGAGGCAGACATTTGATAAAACTGCTCCAACCTGGGTTTACTGTCCATTTTGATCTCCCATTTCCTTCCTCCCACTAGTATCCCTGCTCTATGCGTGCTACCTTTTCTCCCTGTTTTTCCCCCCTCACTCTTCTCCCTTGCTGCCTCACTAACCTCTCCTAAAATCTCCTTTACTTCACAGGTACCCAATAACTTCAGTTTAACTTTATTCAGAAAAGTCCCAGATTGTATTTGTCTCAGATTTGTCTTGGCTCTCTTGCATCATATTTGCCTTTGAATCTGTTGTGTCTACTGAAGACCTAATTCTCCAAACTATGTCTCTTGGCCTTAGAAAGATTTTTCCTTCTATCTTTAAATCTACAGAGGTACTGAATTTATCCACAGGAATTTGTATCTTATGCAAATGCTCTCCTTTCTCAGGATGATAGCATCAAGGTTACAGACATATTTAAAATGTAATTACAAGTATCAAATCTCACACATGGTGATCAAGCCTTTCAGCTTGCTGGGCCACAGGTAAGATGTGATATATGACAAACATTAAAAGTGGAGATGGCACACAGTTCATTCAGGAGAATTTAAACACTGTAGGATGATGTATACTTAAGTGAATGTTTTCTAGAACCATTGTCATGATTTATTAACTTAGTGGTTTCTAGAGTAACAAATGAAAAGACACTTTTCCATTGAAAGCCATCTTTACTTCTCTAGATGGGTGACTAGCTGACAAACTGAATAAGCCAGAGGTCTGCTGTCACTACAGGTATGGGTATACCTGAACTTTTGTTTTAGTGAACGTTAAAAAAAACCCTAAAAAATCCCCTCAATATTCTCTTAGGGTGCTTTATGCCACATTACTTACTTCACTCCTGTTTCATTTTCCTGAACTAACAGACAGCTCTTTGGTGAAGTTCTGAAACAGTGCTTCATTATATTTTCTCATTGTCTCTGTAGATAGCTGTTCTTAATTTGGCTAAAACTGAATTTCGGTATGTGTGGAGTGCTAACATTAATAGAAGAAAAACGATCTGGTTTGGGGTTTAGTTTTTTTAATGTGTTCATTTCTAGACTGGCTTAAATGAGACTTCTTAGAATAAGGAAAAAAAGTCTGAAGCAATAGTGCTTTGGGTAGTTTTACTTGGTCTGAAATCGTTGGTTCACCCTGCTTCCTAGGCTTTGTACAATTTGACCTTGAGCGAAAGAGCTTTCATTCTTGATAGAAGCTAATTGTATGTGTGGAGTTCAAATCGTAGTGTTAAAATGAAATCAGTACTGCACAGGAGCAGGTAATACAAGGAAAATCATACTTTCAATGGGCTACAAACCTTCTGAGTGAAGCACTGTTTTCAAACCAGTGAGATAGACGTAAAGTCATCTTTACCATCTACAAACCAAGTATACCCCGGGAAGTTATAATTTATACCTTAAATAAGGTCTGTAGAGACTGAAAAACTACACTCTGATGCTGCGAGATGTCTTCCCCTGGGGCAGCAGGGTCAGGCAACAATCTTAGGCTGCTCAGGAACAGTAAAAGCCCTCAGATAAGGGCACATGTAGCTTGTGTCGTGGCAGCTTCCTTGCAGTCAATGGACTGGTGCAGAAGGTGCTGTAAGGTTCTGGGTAATGTGCATGTTTCAGTAACATGACAATAAGCCTTAGGGAGTCCATGACATTGGACTAAGTAAGGATTGTAGCTGAGATATGTGTTTGACCAAATTTTAGTGCCAAAGATTGATGCGTAAAGATTTTAATATGTTCTTTAAAGGGAAGGCAGGTTTCACTATATTAATACGAATCTCTGAGTTGTGTTTTTTTTTTTTAAGAGCACATGATAGAAATTAATGTGGTTTCCATCTTTTCTTTTACAGCACGCTTCACTTTCACCATGTACACAGTGATCTGATCTCAGCTTGTTTGCTCTGATGATGTTGTAAGTTTTGCCAATGACTTTGTCAAAGAGAAGCACTTTGCCCAGTAATTGCTTGTAATATGCAGGTGTAGCTATCTATAATACTACATATTGTATCTCAAAAATAGAAGGAACAAGAAATGTGAAGCCATAATACTGAAGAACTGTGGGCTTCAGTTCTCATTTGCACTACACACCTTTTTCACTGGTTAGCTCTGGGAATGTAAAGCACTCTTGAAACGGTACAGTTATGAACTGGGGTCACTTTGAGGTTGCTTTACTGTGACGCTATGTAAATAAGCCTTTAAATACCAGTGCACTAGCACCAAGTAATAACCCTGCCCCATCCCTTCCTTAGTGTACCTGTCTACAGCTTTTCAGAATGTATTCTTTAGGCTCTGTGCACTTTAGGTAGTAGCACGTCCTGTTGTGATGATCTCTTAGTTAATTTACATAAGAAAGTACAACAAAAATATGCTTTAATTATCTTTCTTAAATTTTTTAATAATTCAAACCCTATTCTTCTCTAAATAGCAATATGATATTGAAGGCTGTTACAGAAAAAGTGCTGGCTCTATAGCAGGAGAAGCTCTTGTGATAGCGAGTCTATCCTGTGCTCTTGCATCAGGTTAAGATAGTCTTTGCTTACCTACCTGTGATCCTCATCCAGAAGGGTCTGCTGCTATTTCAGTACTTACTGCCCTTTTGGTGGGCTTGTCTCAAACAGTAACTAAAAAAACAGTGGTTTAAAAGAACAAATGTCTGACTGTAGAACATTGTTGCTTCTGCACCATGATGAAAGGAAGCTTCTAAGGATACACAGGAGTATTACCTCCTCCAGGCAGCAGCATGCCCAGCACTCCTGCTTTCCAGTCACTGTTATGCTGGAGCACAGTTAGGGTGGAAGATAGCTGCTTCTCGTGGCTGATTTTGCTGGCTGTAGTAGCGTGCAGTGACTACTATCACCACATGCCTCCGTATTTCAGCTAGAGTGGGTATCATCCTGGACAGGATTCATGGTCAGCTGGAAAAAGCCCTAGTTAAGATGTTCAAAAGCAGGTGGCAGGTGTATGTAAACTGAAAGTATTGTTTGGTAAACCCAATAAATACGTGTAATGATCTTCGCTAGTTCAGGTATGGGAATAAGAACATAAACTCCCATGTCCTTTGTGTTTTGCATCCTCTGTTTTGGAAATATCACTCAGTGGACTGAAAGCTTTTACTGCTTCTAGAAACAAGTTTAAATGTGCTGTGTGAAGGTAGCTTCCTGGAAATGTTGAAATAAATACATGACATCTTTCTTTCTGGAATATTCATTTAGAAATACTACGGCACAAGAATTATACCTACTGCCACTCCTGTGATACGCATTTAGCAGGGATTTTTTTACCCCTTTAAAGCCATGTTTCTGAGTCCAATTGTTAAGTGGAGTCTTAGCTTTTGTTTGAAGAAACTTCTGTTTCCAGAAGACTTGAAAGTGTAAAATCAAACTAAAGGCAAGAAAACCAAAATTCTTGTCATGGACTTTTGTGTAGCGTGTTTCAGTTTAAGGCAGTCTCAGTATTTGTGTGTGCCTTAGACTGACAATACTGATAGGCATAATCCTGAGACTGCAGAAAACGGAGATGACCGTTTGTATTGGGTCCTTCCCCTTATCTTACTTTATTGTAGACAGGGAGAGAAATGATAACAAAATTACTTCCTGAAAAGTGGCTCTGGCAGGAACATAGAATCCTAGAATAGTCAGGGTTGGGAAGGACCTGAAGATCATCCGGTTCCAACCCCTCTGCCATGGGCAGGGACACCTCACACTAATCCATGTCACCCAAGGCTCTGTCCAACCTGGCCTTGAACACCGCCAGGGATGGAGCATTCACAGCTTCCCTGGGCAACCCATTCCAGTGCCTCACCACCCTCACAGTAAAGAACTTCTTCCTGTTTAAGTTTGAACCCGTTACCCCTTGTCCTGTCACTACAGTCCCTAATGAAGAGTCCCTCCCCACTATCCCTATAGCCCCCCTTCAGATACTGGAAGCTGCTATGAGGTCTCCACGCAGCCTTCTCTTCTCCAGGCTGAGCTGCCCCAACATCACCTCTGCAGAGTTTCTAATCCAAAACCACAAATCTGTTAGAAAGAACAGGATCCCAAGGCCACCTCACTGGCATGCCGGTATGCTTGCCACAACTTCGATTCATCTCTGCTCCACATCTTCCCTTCCTTGGCACGCCAAGGGGAGAAATCTGGCAAGGTGGTTACCCCAGGGAAATGGGTATTGTTTTCCCTTGGAAGCTTAGTGAAGGAAGCAATATGCTCACTACTGAATTATTTGGACAACTTTTTTCACTCGGGTAACATCTATTTGTTGTGAGAAAGTCCATGAAAGAGCCAATGGCATGAAATTAAGTATGCGCACATACATCTTCTTATACCCTTTTTAAAGTAAAATAGGGCTCTCTTCCTACTTCTCTGGACTGATATTCTGCAAATGTGTTAAAGCTTTGAGTAAGCGTTGCTTCTCAAGGAAGCCCTGATCCTGCATATTTCTCATGAATGAATAACCACTTGATCCTCTTGGGTTCTTTGGAGCTCCTTCCAACTGAATAAAAAGGGCTGGACCACTCTTAGAAATGTAGAATCTCTTCCATATACAGCTGAGGGAAGTTGTTCAGAGATTTTGGTTAAAACTGTAGAATATATACTTTATATATACAATTTCTTCTAGGAAAAACTATTGCTAAAGTACAAAGCTCACCTGTTCACACCTCTGGACTCCTGTTTCTAATTTGTTTCTTGTCAACAGCACAAAATGTATTTGGCATCTTTGTTTAATGTTCACACATCTGAATGCTGCTGTGGGTCTTTCCAACAGGCACAGGAGTTATGCTCCAGTGAAATTAAAGGAATTTCATTTGCTTATCTCTTTGGCAGCTGGACAAGAAAGTTGATAAAGGAGAGCCTTTGCCAAATGTATGATAGATTAGTAACGATGCAGGGTAGTATAAGTGAGGTACATCTGCGAATCAACAAATAACTTGAATGAGGTATATTTGTCTGCATAAAAAAAATAACAACTATGTATTTCCTTTAAATTCACAGATTTATAAAGGATGATTTGGATGAAAAAGGCAATTTCATCTCTATGTTGCCACTGTCAATTTATAGTTGAAGGAATGCTTGTTAGCAGTGACTATTCATAAAAATATGGCAACTTTAAAGGATGCTTTGTGGTTTTTTGGTATTTTAGCTTATATTCCTCTAAAAGTAAGGATTATTTTATAATTTACAGATGCAACAGCATTTCTGTTGCCAAATCAGTATCATCAAATGTCATGTTTTGAAAAGACAGAAAAATAATGCAGTCATTGCTTCAAATTAAAGGTTTTCTTAACTTTAGCATTGCTATAAACTGTCATTAACTCCAATGGGATCTGAACATTATCTTTGTGTTGTTACTTTCCATTTCAGGATATCTGAAGTGAATTGCGATCAGTGTTCATGTTGAGAAGAAAGTTGGCTAGAAGTGAGGATGTAACCCAAGTGCAGTATTTTTCAACAAAGGTGGGTTTTTATTCCATGGAACTATGTAATATTTAATTTCATGTAAGAATCATTTTTCTACTTTTTAATCAAATAAGGTCTACTGTAAAATCATTTGTGGGTTTGAAAGATAAGATTGGTACTTTCTAAAGAATACATCTCAAGAACCATTTGGAAAAAAGAAGCCATTCTATTCCTTTAAAAATAAATGAACTACAAAAAACGGGCTTGATGGGTATTGACAAATTACTTCAGCTGATCTGAGCATGAATGTTGGTGTGGGCAGACAGCGCTGCGGTATAAAAATGGAATTGTGTATATTTTCCACTTAAAATGAAATCTAGAGAATATAGATACTCTCCAGACTGAAGTGCACAAGATGAAACTTAAAGCATATTTATGAAAAATGCAAATATTTTGCGCATGAATTATAATGTGGCTGTAACTCTATTGTTTATAGCTGAAATCTAAGATACGCAGTATGCCCAAAGTGAAAACAGTTGCGAGTGAATGGGAAATTTTTCTTCATTCCATAGAAGTATTAGATAGATGGTAGGAGTCAGCAAAGCAAGAACTTGAGTTTCCACGTCTAGAGGCATTAGTTAAGTTCCACCAATCTGTTGTACCATGAGCAAGGGCCATGCAAACCATCACTTTCTATAGAAAAAGCCAAGATTTCTTTTATATAGCATCACCCAAAGGGTAATAAGCACAAAATGGATGCCCACTTTTATGCTGATTATTGGAGAGAATTTTGTGAGGATTTAAACAATTGTGCTTGTTGAGATTACCTCAAGTTGGAATTGATGTAACAAAGAATTCAAGCCGTTATTTGTTTATTCAGTTAATCCTGGATTAGTTGAAACATAAAGATAGCACTTTCTGGGAGACCTGCAAATAGCAACACACAAGTGAAGAGAGATTTTCTGGTTTTAGTTTAAGCAGTGGCCTTAGCTAGAAAAATTGAAAAGAATAGCTCTGCACATTTTAACACTACATTTTGATATCTTTTTAATGATGATTTGAGGGTAATCTAACATCTAAATTGGCTTCACACTTCTCTACAGGCAATCTGTGGCAAAAGAAGCAAACTGAGGAGATAGCATTATCTAAATGATATGAGGAAAAGCAGTGGGACATCCAAGTGAGCCACATGTCAATAATCAGAGCAGTAGTATGTATAATAGCAGGATGTTAACCCAGTTTCAAATTGTAACTCAGGCCATATTTTGGTTTTTTTTCCTAAAAGTAACAGAAAATTCTTACCAGTATTCATTTGGTTGTAGTACATTAGGAACTTTTAGACAGGGAAAGGCATCAAAATATTTGTGAGTCCTCAAAAGGGAAGTATTCATGACAGTATTAATTTTTTGTTTTGGGGTCTGTTTTTTTTTGGGGGGGGGGTTGGGGGATTTTTGGTTTTTCTGTTTGTTTTCTTTTTTTTTTTTTTTAGAATCTCATTATGTAAACCTGAGAAATTGCTGGAAACAACATTTTCCCTTACAAAGGGAAAAAATGAACCACTTTCCCTTGCAGATGTGAGGTATCAGGTTAGCAGCCTTAATCATGGGAAGGGGATGGTTTTGCTGCAAGGGGTAACATAAATCAAATGCGTCTTCAAAATCAATTCCACTACAATTTTTTGCCACTAGTTTCAGAATCTAGGGAAAAATAACCCATAAATAAATGAAAATGTGGTTCTTTTGTACCTTAGGGATATAGAATGGATTAAATTAATTTAATTAGATTAATCTGCTGCTGAAGTGGAAAACATTTCTTTGGTAGAGTAAATAGACAGGAAAGCTAAACTTCTGAAACTTTGTTAAAGCCCAAGTTAAACTACCTAAAATAAGTTTTCCTTTGATACCTTAAGGAAAATAAATCAAAGATTAAAACCCCAAACAAACAAAAACCAAAACAAACAACCAAACCCCCAAACAACACCCCCCCCCCCCAAAACCAGTAAACCCTAGAATATTAGCCATGACCACAGAGATGATGAGATTTTCCTTATTTGCACAGAGCTGTTATCCTTTCCCATCTCCCTGTCTTCCGATTCAGTGGGTATTTAGTTTTACAATTTACTCTTCTCAACATCACAGTCACGTCAACTGTTGACTGTCCTTCTCTCTACTAGAGACATGCAAGATGGTGATGAATGTCAATATTTACCGTGACTTTAGGTTTTTCAGGCAGGAGAAGATGTTATTGAAAATCTGTTATGCCTATATTATGAAATTACTACTATTTCATGAAAGCAGAAGGGGAAAAATGAAAATATAGCAACAAATACATCATATTCAGTACATATGGAATCTTCCTCTCTGTAAAACCTACTTATTTCTTATTTCTGAAGTTAAAACATCATCCAGAATACGAGTCCCACATTGGTTGTAATTTTTGTGTGTAGCTGCGATTTAAAGTTTCGTGTTCTTTTAGTACTAATGAGAAACAAACGACAAAACAAGCTTTGTGCTCATACACACACAGAAAGACTTTATCTCTGAAAGCAGAATTAGGGTGATTTTAGTTCTCTTACGTACTTTAGGCTTTTGGTTTGTTTATATGGGTGATTTTGCTTTCTCGAAATCAGCTCTAAAAGAAACTTACTCTGTTCGGTCTTCATTGTTAAATCTGGCACAGGGTATGCAATCAATGCTGGGAAAGATTATTTCTTGTAGAAATAATGAGGAAATAAGAACACTGCTGCCTTTTTTTCCTCTCTCTCTCTTTTAAAGTGGATTTGAGTATACCCAGTGGTTTGAAAACATCATATGCTGAAATTTCCATGAAAAATTCCATGAGGAATTGGAAGTTTATACTTGGATTTCTTTGAAAATGCCAGCTCAAGTTCACAAATTTGATCTAAGGATAGGAAACAATATCACATGTGGAGTAATTTCACTCGGGACAGGAGAAACTGTCCACACCTAACTCAGTGCAGGCACCAGGAGATACAAAAGAGGAAAGACAGTGATTCATGCTTATCATTTAGGACTATTGATAATACTGCCTGCTTAAGAAGCAGGTTTGAAGCATTTCTATGAGAATCCTTTCACATGTAATACTTCTCACTAGCTTAGTCCCTGTGACTGTTAGTCACAGTCCTACTCCTGTTGGTTTAGTCCATTATTTAATTGCCCTTTCTCCTTTTTTTACTTCTCTTTTTTTCTGAACAAATCTCTCTCAGGCTTCACTTTTTTAGCAAGGCATCATTTATGGTCAGAACAATTCTACTGCGTTTAATCATGCCTGTCAAGTCCCTAGCAGCTGTTTTTCAGGGCTTAGGGATACCTGAATCCACCTGAACATGTAGAAGCCGTTTCGATTTCAAGGAGTCTTAAAGTCCTAAAAAGCTTTTGCAGGTCTTCGTCGAAGATACTACTGTGTAACTGAAGAATAGCTTTAATCACAGAATAATAAGCATTGCCACTGTGGGGATGTGCATCTCAGTAAAAGCTCATCTGTTCTTCTGCCCAAAGTGTCTTGACATTGGCACAAGTTTTTGTACTGAGAAATCACAGTTATTGACCAGCTCTGTGTGACTTAAATTTGCTGCCTTGTGAGCCCTCCATCAGCACTTTTAGATCATTGTTCTTCTAAACTACATGACTTCTATGTGGTAGTGTTGGCCTGTGGTACTGGTAATACTTAAATAACACTCTGATAACCTTTTCAAATGGGTTTGTTTTGTTTCACAGAGGAAATAGCATTGCTGAAGAAGCGCTGTTTACATCTCACATGGCTGATGCTTTTCTGACTGAGCAACAAGGATGATCAAAATTCACAGTTTATCATACTTCCCTCTTAAATTCCAAGTTATTTCTTGTATTTTTCAATTTAAATTCTTGAAGTAAATTGGTGCCTTGAAACTCATCTGCATATCCTCAGAGTGTCGAACACCCAGAGATAGATGTTGAAGTTACTGGTGTTCACTGTGGGTTTGTGAGGAGGAAGCAAGCCTTGCAACTGTCCAAAGCAGATGAGGGAATCTTGTAAAGGTACTTTAAAGAAATGATCACATGTAAAAAGTATTTGACTTCTCTGCCTCAGAGCAAGCTGGCACTTTGATCTTCACAGTCTTCCTTGTTAGTACCATTTGGATTAAGGATATTTTGGGACGAGGAAGATCCTTAATGTGTCTCTTCCCTCTCAGCATGGTAGGAAAAAGCCAGAGCTAATAACCAATTTGGTGGCTTTATAGCAGACTCTAGCTGTAACATGCAAAATATGTGACATAAATATGTATCTCTTAAGCACATGTGTTTTCTCATTTCCCTTTTGGCAATTGCTAATGTAATTATGAGCCACGACATATGGAGTATAATCTTCTTGGGGTGAATGCAAATGGGCATTTGAGGGACTAAATGCCCTAACTGGGTAGGGAGTGCCCTGCCTTTATTTTGGCTTCAATGTCTGATCTAACCCAAGGTGCAGAAGGGCAAATGAGGGTCATTCTGTTCCTCATTGCTGCACAATACTGGTGAGGATTTTTGGAAGTAGAGCTCTAAGATCGTGTTTGTCTTCACTGTGTTGACAACAAGGGTCGTGGCTTTACTGTGAATCGACCTCGTTACACAGGTACCCTGTTCATCTATGTAAAGCAGGCAGGAAAGCAGCGTTGCTTCGGAAAGTGTTCTGTGCAGAAGAATAAACACAGCTGTAAACAGAGAAAAATGCAACCAATGTGTTTATGAAAATACAGAAACTGTCCTGATTAGTATTTAGAAAGTTAAAAATTACTTAGGCTCCGTCTGCTCTGTCTAATCAAAAATATATTTACCAATTTCTCTGCAAAGCAGTATGCATTATCTAAATATTACAATCAGAATGTGCTGTCATTCTTGCCAATTTGCTGGGTTCTGTCATGCTGCTGATGAACAGTGACAAACTGCAGCTCCTTTAAAGACTCTTGGTACATTGAGCTTTTGCCTTCTTGGAAGAGCTAGGAGAATAAATCATGTGAATCTTCTTTTAAACCTGGTCATTACCTCCCACAAACAATGTCTGTATTCTAATGTGATATAAATGTGATTCCTTGAGTTGCTGCCCATGGCAATTGGCTCAGATGCACTGGCAATGATAGTTGTACACCCATGACTTTAACTTCAGCAGTAAAACCTGACTTCATTAAACGTGAAGGAACATCGCCCTGGATATCATTACATTTACAGCCAGTTCCTAGGTAAAGGGTGCCCACCTTTATGGCCACATTTCAGAACACTATAATCCCTTATTTTCCTCAGGGAAAATATAGTGCAAAGAATTAGGAGACCTGCTTCTGTGCTCCTCAGAGCCCCCAAAAGATGTGCTGTTTTGGGATAGTTCTCAGCCAGTATCCCAGGTTCCTATGTAAGTATGTGGGTCAGCCTTGATTACCTGGTTGCCGACAGTCACATCCTTTAAAGCTGTGGCAGCATTCACAAAGCTTCTGTTTTTCCTGGTACTAGAAAGAAGCTGGGAGTCCTGATAGCTCAGTGCATCTCAGTTTCCCAAGAAAATTCTCTTGTCATCCTGCTACATCAGGTAGCACCAGCATGGTCCTACATCTGAGACCTGTTGAAGATAAGATGTGCAGCTTTGCAAGCTGACTCCATTGACCTCCATATTAGTTCATCTTTCTCCATGTAACCACTTTTTCACTTCAGAAGTGGACATTGAAGTAATAGTGACTTGCTTTGAATTGGAGGTGCCTAGCTGAAGGCAGCTAACTCCTACACCTGCAATCAAATGAAAGGGAAGTAAACAGCCAAACAGCATGTCAGAAGCAAATATAGCAAACTGCTTTAGTGTATAGGTATTGGTACAATCCAGTGCTGTTATTCTACTTAGAAAGTGATTAGAATGAGTGCAGAGCAGTGCAGTTTGTAGTTTGTCATCTGTGTCGCTTGTGAAATGCTACAGTCACCAAGAAACACGAGAGGGACTTTGCAGGAGCATGAAGGAGAGGCAGAAGAAACAGAGGACCTGATAACTGGAAACTGCAGAGCCTGGCAACTGCAGATAAGTAGACGCTTATTGCTTAATCTATGAAGAAGTATCATGAGACAGGTAGCAGGGTTGGCATGCTACACAATTTATTTAATATGCCATTTTTTGGTTTGCTTCTAATTCCTCTTTGCATCTTAAACTACATATTCACAGAGGCACAGACC